TTCAGGATCTATGAAAGATCAACTATTTTATAATGAAAATATTTTTAGAAGTTGCTATAGCATCTGCTATTGTATCTACACAAACTCTTCCACAAATTTGGTATTTAGATTATTATAGGAAATTTAGAAGTAGATATGAGTAAGTATAAAAAAATATTAAAAAATATTAAGAATTTTATAATATAAAATTATTAATTTTATCAAATTATATAATAGTTTTAATAATAATGAAATACCAGTTCGAAAAGATATTCAACAAAAATTTCAAGAAGTAATAAATGATTTACATATACCAAAATCAAAAAGTGAAAAAATTAAACTTTTCAATGTTTATGATATAAATATATTTCATGCTGGAACAACATGTACAAAATATGGTGCTATAATTGGAATTCCAATAAATTTTGAATATGATGATATTAAAAATATGACAGAACAAACCATAACATTTCGAAATATACAAGTTAATTGGAATCCAGAAATTAATAAAGAATTTCAAAAATCTTTAATACTTTCAAAAGATGCCCAAAAATTTTTAATGGCTCGTAAAATTTTAACAGTTACAGAAAATTATTTGTTATATGAAATACTTGATTTATCTTTTAATACTTTAATAGGAATAATAATATATGAACTACTGTATTTAACATTAAAAGTTACCAAGAAACAAAGAGGCAAAAATATTTTTTGTATGAGTATTGCTACATTTACAAGTGGTTTTCTCTGCTTATTAACAAGCAATGCACAAGATTATTATAGAGAACTCCAACTCAATGAGAAAATGGCTATGCTTAATGATAAATATATTAAAGGTGGTATAGAATATTACGAAAAATTATCAAAAAGAAATAAAGCCTTGAGAGTACTTTTAGGGAAAAAAGGTACATATCTATTTACACCTAATGGAGATGAGAATACTTTTTTTGAAAAGTCAATTCCAATTTCTGATCAAATAGATTATTTTAAAGCAAAAATACAAAATATTCAATTAATATAGTAATTATTATAGTATCTATACAGTGTATAATATAATATATATATTATTTAAAAATTGTAAAAAAAAATTGTAATAATAAAATTAATATTAAATTTATTATTATTAATTTTTAAATTAACTTTATTTATTAATTACATAATTTATGTACAATACAAGTATTATTTTTAAAGATATTCTTATTTATAATAAAATTAAATGTTTCAAATTAAACTATTTATAAAATATATACTTTTGTTTTTATGTTTTCATTTTATATAAAAAATTATAAGAAAAAAAATATTTATGTATATATATTTAAAGTTATGACAACTTTATAACAATAATCTTTTATTCTATTATAAATGGTTATAAAAGTTAATAGGTAATAGCATGCTTATTGATGAACAATTTAATGTGAATATTTATAATTCTATCATAATAAAATTTTATATATATATATA